GAGACTAAATCACGGTCTCGTCTCGAGATGTCGAGACGAGACGAGACCAACCCTAAGTTTCGTCTGGTCTCGTCTCGCGGCACCACTAGACACCAGTGCGGTCCCGGCCTTAGCCGATGTTGACATTTGTTAGTCACGTAACATATGTGAACCTGTCAATATTTTGACTGATAAGCACCAGTATTTCTTATACTCTCCACACAAAAAGTCGCAAAAAAGTTCAGCTTTCAACGCTTATATCTCAAAGACCGTAATTCCTACAAGATTTCGTCCCATTAGAAGGTTGTTAGGAATTAAATCCTCTACAACATATCAAAATTTGAAAAAAATCGACCGATCGCTGAAATCCTATGTAAGGTGTGCGAGGTCCTTTGTAGGCCTCAAGCTTAGCACAATTTCGAGATACTCTTTAAATTTATATTTTCAAGCGGTCTATAATTTGAACTTTATTCGTCACAGAAGTGATCCATTATGACGTACTTACCTAGGTCCGAGAACAGATTTTTATGTATTCAATGACCTAATATTGATTTAACATTTGTCGTTGACATACGTCGTAAAATATAGTGGCAGCCTTTTATTTTTTCAAAAATAGATTAAATATGCAGTGAATAAGCTGGGAAAAAATTGCAATTTTTTGAAGATAAAATGTTTTTGGGCTTTGCTCTATTGTAGGCATCCGCTACGTGTCCAACTTAAAACCTTGATCTCAGCAGAGAAAGTCGCACTTTTTGGTGTAACGACATAAATAAGTATTATTGTTAAAAAATTGAGGGATTCGATGCAAAAACAATAATTAATAATATTCAATTTATCTATAAGTGCTTGATTTTGAAGGCTTTGATTGCAATTCGCAAATAAATTAGCTTGTAAAAGCAACAATAATGTAATCTATGTAAATAGCAAAAAACCCGCCATTGCTCTTTGAAAAACAATAATTAAAGCATGTCTTAAAGCAAAGTAAGTTATATATATCAGAGTAAAATGCATTGCTTTGCGAAAAGTTAAACATTAGTTTAAATGACGGTGTCACCTAAGTTCCAATTAAGTTTCCCACAGCTCTGCGCCAACTTCTAAATGTTCGTTCCAAGATAAACTTGACTTTAAAACTTACATAACAAAATCTGGTTTGTCGGATAAAAAGATTTTTCGAGTTAGGCGATGATAAGATTTAAGCTTACTTGTAGGTTTTAAGAACGGCGCGAGGCAACCGTTTTATCAGGTTCGATCCCTCCTAGAACTTCTAGGGGATTTTTCAAATGTCATGTTGACCCTTTCAAACTAGAAAATTTAATTTATTATGTTTCCAGACTGATAAGAAATTCAGTGACAAATTTTCCATCTGGCCAGTTTCGAAAGCATGACATTAGAATAGGCAATTTAAAAATATCGTGTGTACTGCTTCAAGAAGTGCATATAAAAAGATCCACTCCTAATATTTAAAAAACCGAATGTCGAAATACATATCATAATATATCTAATCAATCTATATTATGAAAGAGAGTGTACAATGTGCGTGCCGCTAGAAATCAACAATGAGAACGGACAAGGGAGTTATATGGTGTGGTAACCCTCTTTCCCCCGTCCATGAAGAAGGTTCCCGTTTTTACCCGAAGAGCGTGCTTTTGAACATAGGAGGGCTGGAATTTTCGCCCTCTAGAAACTTCTAGAACAGTCCAGAACATTCGAGAGTAATCGAGACCATTTCACGACATTCTGGAATGTTGTAGAATTTTCGGGAACAATCCAGATCATTGAGGAACATTTCAGAACACTCTCGAATGTTGGGGAATATTCTGGAACATTGTGGACCATGCGAAGCCTTTTATTGCTTTTTAATTGACTGCAAATTAAAGTAGATGCAATCAATTATGGCTATTTAGAAAGGGTGATCGATTCACAGAGTATTAGCAACCGTTTTTTAGGTAACAATACAGGGTGTCCTGGATAAGGATTTATAGGAGGCATCCTGTATATATATTTTTTTTTCCAGAAAATTATACATTATTTCATAAGCTGTTCTGAGTTGTTGAAATAAATTCAATTTCATGTACCTTATAGCAGCAAATACTATTCAGTTACCCTTTCATATAAAGTCATGTGGGAGAAACTCTTCAATGACCAGGATTTAACCCTAGAATACAAACCCACGTAAATTTTACGTGTGTTTTTTGTTTGATATGCTGCCATTTCCCAAATATGGGATCCGGTCCGCCCAAATTTCAAGAGTGATTCCCCCAATACCAGTAGGACTAGGCATCGCCTTTGTTACATAAATGCCAGTCGTTTGACGTCTGCCAGACTCACAAAAGTACACTTCTAAACGTAAAATTTACGTGGGCTAGTACTTTCTTTTGACAAAGTTTATTGATTTTATTTGTATTTCGCGGTATTTTTAAGAAAATATGAACGCAAATTTGTTCTGAGTGTTGTTCATTCAAAAAAAATTAAGAATATTTCCCAAAATTTCCAAAATATAAGCGGCTGGAATTATTATTTTGTATTCTGTGTAAATGAAAGTTTTGAGGAGATTTTGTTTTTCAATTTCACCTAAACATACTTACATGTATGTACACAACTAAAAACATAGTCACACAATATATACAGACAAAACTAGTAAAACTTATAAGCTAAATTTGATAGGTATACACGCGTTATGAAGCATGCGGGGGTGCAACGTTGCCAAATTAATGAATTATTCGCCATGTCGTATGAGTGATCTGCAAAAAAATACCCAAAACCATATTTGGACGACATACAAACCGGAGATGATGGCTATCCCAAATACAGAAGACGATCACCCAAAAAACGTGGCTTCACAGCCAAAATACGCATACAAGGCAGAAACGAACTGGAAATAGATAATCAATGGATATTAGGTACCATATTATAACCCACTACTTTCCAAAATGTTCCCAGCACACATGAACTTAGAATACTGCAATTCAGTTAAATCCATTAAATAATATGTCTGTAAGTATGTTAACAAAGACAGTGACATGGCTGTATTTCAAATAGCCAAAGAGAGCAAACAACAAAACAGAAACTACTAGATCCTCATGTACCAAATGCGAAGATACATCAACAGTAACGAAGCAGCGTGGCTGAAGTTCGGTTATCCACCAACACGAACCACTTGTGCAACATCTAGCAGTACATTTAGAAAATGGACATAGAGTTTACTTCACAAAAGACACTACTAGAAAAATTGCAAGCGAACAACCTAAGAACACAATATTAATCGCTTTTTTCTAACTGTGCCAAACGGATTCATTCGCGAAAACATTACTATGTTGATGTCCCTACCTATTAGGTATACGTGGAGCACAACAAACAAAATCTTTCAACGACGAAAATAAGGAATTCCAGTGGAGGATCATCCAGGAATCATGAAAATTGATGCACTAGGCCGAGTAAGGGAGAGTCGGTAAGTTGTGCGCACTCAAGAAAAAAAAATATATATTTTCTAAAATTTGGCTCATGGAGCTCTGAAATTTGGCATAGATGTTCTCCTCTGTTATAAATAGGTTACAGCCCAAAACAACCAAAGGTCACAAATAAAATATTCACGATTATCCACCCTATGCTTTGGTAATGGTGCGCACTGGTCAGGGCAATTGTACGTAAAACAGTAAACTAAACTGCTGGACAGTTGCTTAGCAGCAAAAGGAAAATTTCTTTAACTTTCAAACTCGATATTTTTGGAACTAAAATATCGTCCTCTGGTTTTCATATAGCAACTTTTTTCACAAAGAGTCAATCTGTCTGCCCGTGAAAACCGGAGATCGATATTTGGTCTGGCTCCAAAAACATTGAGCGACATAGGCGACATAGGCGAAAAACTTTCCTTGCTCGAAAGCAATTATATTCCAGCAGTTTATATGATGTGAAGGGTAGAATAAAAATGAGTGATACTAAGTACCTAGATAATACATTTATTGCAAACGTAAAGACCATAACTTAACGATCGCAAAAGTCACAGATATAACCTTCAGCACCACTGAAAAGCTCATGGAGCCGATTTGCCATCTGGCGCACATTGAGCATTGAAACAAATATTCATTTTCTTTTGCTCTGTTTTTATTGGTTTTTTTTTCGGGCAGTAGGTATCCAAGTCTTGGATGGCGTCACGGCCAAAAGTCTCCCTTCGTACTACTTCTACTTTGCCTACAGGCACTAAACTTGGGTTGGGTATCTTTGCTTTCCTAGCCACACGGATGAGATCTGATAGATCGAAACGCGTCTTTGGATGAAAAGACAAAGAAAAAAGAAAAAACCACGACGACCGACGTATTTAGGCAGCAAATCGCACGAAAGTCAGCTTTCAGTTACTCTCAATGACATCTATTAGATGGCGCCTCCTGTACGAATTTGAACAAATAATATGCGTTTTCGTATGGTATCATGGTGCGCACGATTACCCGACTTCCCCCTATACACCGTACATCCGAACAATGCCGGATGTCGCTACACGAAATACGGGGACCAAAAAATTTCAGAGTTCTGTTGACGGTTACCAATGCCAGACTTACAGAGAAGCATACCAACGCTTAAGGCTACTGGACAACGACAACCACTGGATAGTAACTTCAAAAGAAGCCTCACTCGCAGCCTCGGCTGACCAAGGCAGATACTTATTTGCCATAGTTCTAACAACATGTAACCCATCGAATTCAAAACAGCTATGGGACTCCTTCAAAGAGAGCATGACACATGACATACTGTACCAAATCCGACAAGCTATTCCAGAACTGGCCATCGAATTCAACGACGACAGCTTCAATGAAACACTCATTCGTCTAGCTGATAAATGTTAAGCGCTAAAAGACCAGACAATACCTACAACTTAGGATGCCAGCATCATGACTAGATGCTTTCAGTGTACTAAACTTCGAAATTACAAAGGAAAAAAGCTATAGCATCAACGAACTACTCCAATACATTGCTCACAACAAACCACTTCTCAATGAAAAATAAAAAATAAAAATAACAACGTTGTCATGGACCGGTGCAGCAACAACACTGGCAGAATTATTCACTTGGACGCACCAGGCGGCACCGGGAAAACGTTTCTAATAAATCTATTGCTGACAGAAATACGTGCTAAACAACACATCGCACTTGTACTGGCATCATCTGGCATTGCGGCCATACTTAAGGAAGGACGAACTGCCAATGCCGCCCTACAACTACCGTTGAAAACAGCCGAAGAACAATTCCCGGTATGTAAAATATCAAGAGCATCTGCACAAGGCGAACTTCTAAACAAGCTAAAATTATCTTCTGGCACGAATGCACGATGGCACATAAAAAGTCACTCGAAGCCCTGGACAGAACATTACATGACTTGCGAGGAAACTCTGAAGTGATGGGAGGGGCTCTACTCATACTCTCAGGAAATTTTCGACAAACAGTTTCAGTTATCCCCAAGTCAACGCCAGCAGACGAAATCAACGCAGGCTTGAAAAAATCATATCTCTGGCCACACATACAAATACTGAGACTAATAAAAGATATGAGAGTTGAACTATCAAAAGACGAATTAACAGTACATTTTGCTTAACACCTTTTACAAATAGGCGAAGGCACTAACCAGACGAACGGCCTCATTGAGCTCAGCAGTGATTTTTGCAACATAGCCACTACTGAAAACGAGCTCATCGACCAAATTTATCCAAACATTGTTCATAGCTATACCAATTCGGAGTGGCTATTTTAGAGGGCAATTTCAGCAACTAAAAATAATATTGTCGACGTTATCAACTTTAATATTCAAAAGAAAATTCCCGGTGAACAGAAAATATACAAATCGATCGACGCGATTGTGAATGTTGAAGAAAGTGTCAGATTCCCTACAGAATTTTTAAATTCTCTGCAAGTACAAAGAATGCCATTACACTGCCTTCGACTGACAAATGGATCTCCAATCATACTACTCAGAAATCTCGACTCACCAAAACTATGTAATGCAACAAGGATAATCGTCAAACATCTATCGAATAACATACCCCCATCTAGTTTATACCTATATTACGAAAACGATTGAGGATTACATAGAGGCCTGAGATGTTGTTGTATACGCCTCACGAAAAATAGTTGGGAATCAATGACTACATTGAAACTACCTGTCTCGATCCTATTATGTAGACAAGAGCTTGGAAATAAACAAGAAAGCTATACATGTGCAGTAGAGGTAGAGGGTCGAACTTTAGATATTATTTATGTATTCAATTTAATCGAAATGTGAAAGGTTTGGGGTTCCTAGGAAAACAAGTACTGTAAACCGTATATGATATACTTATATAAGTAGGTCCTTCACAAACATATACTATTTCAAAACAACTTCTGAAAGATCACTTCTTCAAAATATATTTCATTCGCTGCCATGTAGTCAGCAATTTTGTACTATTTGATCCTGGAGCCCTATGAAATTGGCGACTGTGTTAGATCACATTGTCCATGCCAAAAAGTTTTCCATGGTGTTTCATGTGAGTTAATGCCAATGTGCAAGAGGTGCTTCCAGATTACGCTTGCTCAACTAGGTTTGGTGGAGCCAAGGGCAGTGATACTACAGCTTATTTGGGTTCCGTCATTAATGAGCCGGTGCTTCAGAATTTGTAATGTAGGTACGCGTTGCTTTTCGCACATGGTGTAAACTTTCCATCTTATCAAGTCTCTGTGGCCTTTCGCCGGACGGAGACGGCATCTTTACATTTTTTCTTTATTTGCTGGGATATGACGCGACTCTTTCCACTAGCGTTGACCGCCGAAGGTTGCCGTGGGTCTTCAAAACTAACAACTTAAAATTGATGAAAGACTTGACCGACAAGATAGAAACGAGACAGGTCTTGGTAGCTCAGTTGGTAGAGCGTTGCACTGGATATGCGAGGGTCCTGGGCCTAGTCGAGGCAAGAATTTTTTTTATCGATTTCAATTGAAACGTCTGCATGTCAAAATTGAACACACTGTAAGTTAAATTTTATGTTAGGTGAATAACTATTACAAATCTCTTCGCATCGAGAGATAAATACTTTTTTTTTCACCGGAACACTACACTAGAAGAAGCACCATTGATGTTTTTCCACGGACGCATAATATTTGGTAAAACGATATCGACGAATCACAACTGAACATCTCGTTAGAAATAATGACTCACAAATATTATGGGGAAAAGGTATTTAAATTTTATCTGCTATAGGGGGATTTCTGGGTAAACATCGGAAACAAGCCTAGAAGTTATTAAAAATCCGGTCCTCTCAACTAATATTGGGAAATCGAGGGCATGGCGGAAAAGGGCATAAACAATGACGCAGTCATTGTCACAAGCGTTTTTCGAGAAAAAAAGCTTCACCTTGTGGTAATTTGTAGAAATTTTTGTTGTCATTTAGGAATAATTTGGAATTTGAAGATTGAGGTTTCTACTAGGGATGGGTCAAAGATGAAATTGAATAAGTTGTAAGCAGCGAAAGTTGACCAACTAAAATTGATATAAAGAATTTGAAGTTTGTAAAATATATAGATTTAATTTCAAGAAATCGTATCACATGATGAAAATTAAAACATAATAATATGTGAAATCCTGAATGCTTCATTTAATAATTGATCTCAAAATTAAACTTCAGTAGCTGTTGTTCCAGTTCTAGAATATCTGTATGTATACCGACATGAAAATATTATATTTAGTTATATTGGAAAATACAATTCAGGCGTTATTTAAACATTCCATATTTATCTAAATAAGAGCGGTTAAACTCCAGATTTCAAGTTTCTAAGTTTTACAAACTGAACAAACTTATTAGGAGGCAGAGAAGGGTAGCATAGGAAAACGAAATTAAATATTCAATTCGCTGCAACGTTGGTTGTTACCTATTTATGTTCTATTTAGATTTTCTAAACTCTTATCATTTCTGTCAAATATGCTGCAATCATTTATATTTTCACCAACTGTTGTGCTTTTGTCAATATTATTCTCTTTTTAAGGCCTGGTATCAGCAGAAACCTGAAGTGCCTACAGTTTTTTAAAATTCATAGTTTTCTTCTCTTCCCTTCTCTGTCATTTTTTTATTGTTTTATTGTTTTTCTCTCTAATTTGTTTCTGCTGCAGTATGATTGACATTTCGTTGAAGATGTAACGCTGGGTAGTTTTACTTTTTATACCTGAGCCCCAGACAAGACGCTTTTATTAACAGAAAGAGTATTTGAATTTGTGTGTCGTTCTTAGTGATCGATCCCTGTATGCCCGTTGACTGGATTATCCGACGAAATTAGCCTTATTGGAGGAATATTCTAGCCAGGGAATTATAATCAATCGGCGTTACCTACCGGAAATTTTCAGTAGAGAATTATCGAGACAATTATACAGAAGGCTAACGGTATTAGGTAAGAGTTTGACTACAAAAATTTTAATATGATCCAGTTTGAACAAAATCAAAAAATTGTAATTAACTATGAGTCGATTATTAGTTTTTGCGGAAATATCGCAAAATATATATTTAGGAACATGTTTACAATGTGAAAAAGTTGTACAAATAATAATTATTCTCCCGCACTCCGGGTCACGTTAAAAAATGTAGGTATCTAAAGGTTTGTTCCAACACGTAGCAAGAAACCGTAAAATGTACCGTCATGATTCTGCGTGATGAAATTTGTGCGTATAGAATCCAAACTTCGTATACAAAGTGATTTTGAAACGGTTCATCGGATAGTTTTTGACGTGTTGAAACAGACCTTATATAACCACACTCGAATTGTGAAAAAAAATTGTTTTTGCAGCGAGTTTATTTTCGTTGTTTTGATTTTGGCTAATTTTGTGGCGCCATCTATGTTTGACGAATGCAATCTTGATTGACTCATGAGAGGTGCTATCCAATGCCTCCTCTATGTCTAGGGAAGCTAGATGGCTACTTCTTTATTGTGTGTTCTGGATACTGTCGGAGAGCTCAAATATAGCGATTTCTGTTGGTCTGCACGCTTTGTATACATGGTGCCGAGGATATGTAGTGGCTTTTCCAGAACACTTGTTGTTTTGTAGTTATCTACTACTTTCTCAGCTGTTTTCAGTAAGAATGACGTAAGGCATATAGGTGCGAATTATTTCAAAAGAGTGGTGTTCCTTCTCCTTACCTGAATACCAGCTCTCTATTGACAAGACATAAAAATTAAATTACATGTTGGACGTTTCCTAAGTAAAGTTTGCCCAAATTTGGAAAAGTCGTGAAAATTTAAAAAAAAAAAAACATATAGGTACTAAGAGATATAGGCGTTTGAAACCTGCTGAGTCGTTTTACCCTTTCAGCTCACATTTAGGAGTGAAATTTCGACCAATAAATTCTTGTCGTAGGTAAAACCTTTTTCAAATCTACTACTGCCAGATGGCCCATATTCAAACCATCTCTTCTACCTATGTGGTTTCGATGCTCAGTATTTAGACGTCAAAAATTAAAACCATTTCATAGGTACTCAATAGTGGCAGTATATTTTTGAAAGAAAACTAAAGTTTGTAAATTTAATGAAATATTTTCACAGGCTCTTGAATGCATTCTCATTTACCTAAGTCGCCTATTTAGAGTGGATTCATTTACGTAAATAATATTTCCTTTTGAAGTTTTGTTCTACGAACAACTATTCAAACAATATTTATGGGCCACAGAGAACTTACCTTACTTAATTGTAAGTTAGGTGACACTAAAGTGCGGCGGCAGTGCAAATATGCGGCGAGATGCGTCAAGGGCTTCAGTCTCATGACAAATGGGATCTTAATCGATTCAAGAATAATAGCTACGCTAGGTTTATTTGTTGTGAGCGAATGTTTTTATTAAATGTAGACACTGCTAGTCAAATTAGATTTATTTCTAATTTAGTTATTTTTTTTCCAGTTTTAATTTTCTAGAAAAAACTAGTGTTTGAAAAAAGAAAAAAATGAAATTGAATAAGGGGTCTTTCCGAATTTAGAGACTGTAATAAGTCGTGGTTGAAATTTCACATTCCGTTTGCTGTTTCCTTATTTCTGATAGCAAAAGAAGTTCATTATAAATGCAAAATGTGTTTTAGGGTGAGATGTGACCAATTTACTTTTAAGTTATATCTTTCAATGCAATTTATTTAGATAATTTTGACATTTCAGTAGGTATACATACGGTACCTATATGGCGGAGAATGAAAGGGTTAATAAAATTATTAAATAATAAAAATACATAATTACCACAGTTTTGAAAACATACAACACCGGTATCGGGTATTGGAGTATTCAACATTCATTGTGTCAAAATTTCATTTCAACGAATAACAGAAATTAATAACAATAACAAATCTTTATTATATCAAAAAAAAAAACATATCTGCACTATGTATGCGCATGTTTGAAGTGAAG